GGTCCCATGTACCCAGAGATCAAAAGTATAGTACTATCCCAAGCAACTCAATATGGGCATGGACAACATTTCTAATTTCCATTTTCAGGCCTGTTTGTCTCTGGTGGATCAGTGCACAGTGACATCATTAAGGCAGATTATTTTAGTTCTTCAGCTTGTGACATGATAGCACCCTCCTCAGGTTCACTCTAAGTGAAGCTGATGAGTTCTGGAGAGTACCTTGATTAGTAGCAGGAGCTCATTTCCTCTTTTCCACTCTTTTCAGATGTGTCGTCAGGAGGAGTCCTCCACCACTGACTTGGAGAAAATACGCCTGGAGTCAAGTTGCCGTGGAGAAGCACTGGCTAAAGTATCCAGAGAAAAGGAAGCCCTGGTGCGTGAGAAGGCAGCACTGGAGGTGCGAATAGGGGCTGTGGAACGGGACAGACAGGGCCTTTCAGAACAGCTGGCAGAGCTCAGGTGAGGTGGGGGTAAAAGGACCTTTTGCAGCACACAGATATATTTAAATCTAGTTGTAATGACACTTGGCACCGAGACAGTGCTTTTCATCTCTGGATCACCGTGTGGTGTTCTTCAAGTGACGTCCCCATGGGTGCTCCAGTGTAGGCCGGGCTCGTCCTGGTGCTGCAAATCGGAGACGTTTCCATAGCAGTATTCGGCGCATGCGTGGACTGTGCATGCGTGGACGCTTTTTTGCACATGTGCGCTGTCTGGCTCCTGCCAGTTCCTCTCAACCACCTCAGGCTGCAGACGGAATGAACCGGGTCTCCACATTTTCCTCATCATGAGTGTTCTAATTTTTGTTAATAGTTCATAGCATAATAGTTGAATAGTTACTCAGTTAGTTAATACCTCCGTGGTGATGTTCGTTTAAAAAAAAAATCCCTTTTCTTCGTTGCGGCGTAGATAGTTATAGAAGACTTCTGTATAGATAAATACCTTTGTTTCGTCAAGACAGAGAACTTTAAATTAAAAAAACAACCCAAAGACAACAAGAACAACATTAAAATGCCCGGCTCCCCAGGGTTTAAAAAGTGTGATGTGTCATGAAGCCGTGGCTGCCTCTGACGGGCACTCGTCCTGTATTCGTTGCCTTGGCGAGAATCATGTCCCACAGAAGTGCCCTCATTGCAGCAAGCTAACTGCAAGAGCCTACAGGCACAGGGAGATGAGGCTGCAAATTTTCCTCTTTGATAAGGCTCTCCAGCCGACAGGATCAGACTTTACAGACACTTCAGACCAGCCAGCTCAAAAACAGAGAGCTTCATTGCCTACAGCTGTTCCACCCAAGAAAGTCAGGGCGTCGCCTACGAGATCTCTGCCTGCTACTTCGCAGAGCAGATTGAGCACTGGAGACAAGCCTGGCACGTCCGGCATTGCCGTTACCCATTCTAAGGCAGTCCCAGTCTCCAAAACAAAAATGTCAGTGTCTACAGTGCTGACGCCACGTGCACCGGCACAACCGAGGGCAACCTTGGCACTGGCAGATTCCTCAACCAAACCTTCAGCACCGGTGGTCACATCCATGCCACATCCATTATCAGCACTGTTGGTGCCGATGCGATGGGTGCCTTTGGCGCCAGACCAGTGGACAGACAGTATAGCACCAAGGAAGTCGGCATCGAAAACACCTTGGCACTGAAGTCCTACACTGCACTCTCCTTTGCCTACTTTCTCTCCAGCACTGTCACCTTCACCACCGGCACCGAGGTTGCCAATGCTGAGATCCCACCCCATGAAATAGCACATCTCTCTCCACGGTCTGCACAGGAGACTATCATCCCTCTTTCTCAGGGCACCAAGAGATCACACCCACCGGCATTTTTCTGTCTCCCCATCACCTTCTTCCAGAATGTCATACACCCTCTTCTGTTCACTATGATCACCATGGGCGACACATTGGGAAGACTATAGATGTCTGCACTCTGAGAGAGAGTCACTCCCTGGCAGGCCATATTACCACCATGACTACTACTGCCACTATTCGCTTCATCGCTATTCCTACTGCTATAGATCTAGGTCCAGGGGACCGTTGCTATGTGAATGCATATCCTGTAGGCATTCACCTGTCCCAGCCCCTCCCTACCCCAGTACGACACCCTACATCACCTCAGCTACAACAGTCAGAACCGGAGAAGGGTCAGGTTTCTGACACAGAAGGACAATTGCCCGATGTCTCTCAAATGGACCAATCCTTCTCACCCAGTGAGGCCATTATTCCGGGCCTCCTCCCGATGACCTCAAACTATTTCAAGACATGTTTAAGTGGGTGGCAGTGAGCCAGGAAGTGCAGCTGGCAGAAATACAGGAGAAACAACACCATCTTCTTAAAAATCTCCTGCCAGCCCATAGCTCCAAGATAGCCATTCCGTTAGACGAGGCTATCCTCGAAGCAGCAGACGAGATATGGCAAACTCCGGCATCTGCTCCACTCACCAGTAAAAAAGCGGACAAGAAATACTTTGTGTTGCCTAAGGGGATGGAATTTTTATTCACCCACCCCATCCCAATTCCCTGGTGGTCAATGCTGCACAACAGAGATTGAAAACACCGCAATACAAAAACTCTACAGCCAATAGAGATAGCAAAAGGTTAGATTTATTTGGCAGGAAAGTAAATACATCAGCAACACTTCTGCTTAGGATAGCAAATTATGCCATGCATTTATTGAATCGCAACTTTGTTGACAATACCAAATTAACATCGCTCATGGATCACCTCCCTGAGTCAAAAAGGCCCATTTTAAAATCTGTCATACAAGAGGGGTACACCTCCACCAGAGCAGCTTTACAAATAGCGATGGACATAGTGGACACAGCCGCTCGGTTGACTGCCAGGGCGGTGATAATGAGATGGGCCTCTTATCTTTAAACAGCAGGGGTCCCTAGAGACCTGCAAAACAAAGTAGAGGGCTTACTATTTGACAAGACCAAACTATTTGCCGAGAAGACAGACAGTGTGCTTCACTCCAGTAAGGACTCACAGACCACCTTTATGCACTCTGGGGATGTACCTTCCCTCCCGCCCCGGGCGTACAGGAGATGATGTCATACCCTTTATCAGAGGCGTTATGACTATGGTTATAACAGGCAATACTGGCAACATCAGCAATGTGGCTTTGACCAATCCCACATGCAACAAAGGCCATAGAAATGCCACAACTAAAATAACTGCGCAACCTCAACCAGCCAACAAACAACAGGTTTGACTCCTCGGTCGAGGGCATCCAAACAGTCACACAGACCAATCAGAGCTAGCATACCACCCACATGTTTTACCAGTGACTGTGGCCCTTTTACCAACAATGGGCCTCCATTACCACTGACAGGTGGGTCTTGGAGATAATACAATCCAGCTACACAATACCCTTTCCCCCCCACACACACACTACCCCACCTACCCTGTCCCTTTTCAGGGACCCTTCTCACGAGAATTTGCTGTGCAACGAGGTCAACCACCTCCTTTCCATAGGAGCTATGGAAAGAGTTCCAGACCAGCTCAAAGGGAGAGGTTCGACTCTTATTATTTCCTCACACAAAAGAAGACAGGTGGATGGAGACCAATAGTAGATCTCTGGAAGATAAACCAACATCTCCAAAAATAATGGTTCAAAATGGTGACTTTTGCGTCTATAATACCTGCACTAGATCACAATGACTGGTTTGCTGCCCTCCACCTCCAGGATGTGTATTTTCATATCACGATCCATTCTGGACACAGGAGATTCCACCAGTTTATAGTCGATATAGATCATTTCCAATACCGAGTCCTACACTTCAGCCTGTCTTCTGCCCCCAGGGTATTCTTGAAGACCCTGGCAGTAGTCGCACTGTATCTACGTCAAAAGGGGGTTATAATTTTTCCTTATCTCGACGACTGTCTGCTAAAGGGCTGTTCATCAACTGAGACATCCGTTATGGTAGATACCACCAGACAAACTTTTGACCTCCTTGGATTACTAGTCAACAAACAGAAGTCAACACTCCATCCTACTCAGGACTTGAAATTTATCGGCGCCCGATTCGATGCCACCACGGCAAGGGCTTATTTTCCCATTCAAAGATTCCAAGCTATTCAGAACTTGATAGACATTCTACTGTACAGCCCTACCATTCAGATAATTATTTGTCTAAAACTGATGGGCCACGTGGCGGCTACAACGTATGTAGTCCGTCATGCGAGATTACATTTCCATAGCCTTGGCTAGCTTCCATTTACAACTACACGAAGCATGACGTTCAGAGATTAGTGATACTTCCGACCCAGGTTCTAGATTTCCTCAAGTGGTGGACAGACCAGAAAAATCTTATGTCTGGTGTCCCCTTTCAACAACAACAACCTAATGCCATATTACCACAGATGCCTCCCTCCTATGTTGGGGAGCACACATGGACACTATGTTGGTCCAAGGTCGGTGGTCGCCTCAGGAGATATTCCTCCATATAAACCTTTTTGACCTCAGAGAAGTCTTCCACATTTGCAAGCACTTCCACAGATATATTTGCAATATTACAGTCAAAATTCTCACAGACAATATCACGACAGTGTATTACATCAGTTGTCAGGGCTGAGCATGTTCTTGCTTCCTATGTGTAGAAGCAATCCGACTCTGGAACAGGTGCATTTGGAATAACATCACGCTTGTGGTATCTTCCTTATCTGGCATCAGCAACGTTGCTCCAGATTCCCTGAGCAGACACTTCACACCAGATCATGAGTGGGAACTCCACGACAGGGTCCTTCATCTTCTGTTCCGACGTAGGGGAATTCTCCTCATAGACCTCTTTGCCTCCTACCACAAGAAGTGCTGTTATTACTGCTCCAGAGCAGGAGTGGGCATTCCTCCTCAAATGGAACAGGCCTCTCCTTTATAGCTTTCCACCCACAATCCTCATCCCCAGAGTCCTGGAGAAAGTCAAGGCAGACAAAGCCACCATGATACTAGTAGCACCTGTGTGGGCATGCCAACATTGGTTCCCCTTCCTCCAGCGAATGCTGCCACGTACTCCTTACCCCCTCCCGGTTCTTCTGGACCTCCTGACTCAGAACCGAGAATCCCTGCTTCACCCCCAAATACACACCCTACAACTCATGGCATGGCTCCTAATTGGCTCAGTGCATCTGAAGATCTCTGTTTGACACAGGTCAAAGAGATTCTGATTCACAGCAGAAGGCAGAATACTCGAACCATTTACCTTTCCAAATGGCATAGGTTTGCTTCCTGGTGCTCCATATATCACATGGAGCTACACGCAGTTCCTCTCCACATCATCCTCGACTATACCTACACCTGAAACAGACAGGTTTGGCCTTAGCTTCCCTGAAAGTGCATCTTGATGGCACTTCAGTGTTTGCCCATCCCATTACCAAGAGGTTCATCAAAGGGCTTACGAATTTGAACCCTCCTCGAAGACCCGTCCCTCCACCATGGAACCTGGACATAGTACTTGGCACTCTAA